ACCCTCAACCCAGTGCTTGTGTCTTGTCGTTTCTGAAGGTGCAATGATAAATTTGCATCGGTTTTGAATTTCGTTTCTTTTTGTAACATAATCTACGCACACTCTCTTTATCAAAGAACCTTTTCTTAAGTTTCTTATGCCACCTTTCTCACCCTGTATAAACAAGTTCCAAATATGTTATACAATTTAGTATGATCAATATAATTCGTGTAAATATAAATTACTCACCACAAGAACGTCATAGTCATCATCTACTAACTGGTATTGAGAAGATCCGAGGTCAACTATACCATTAGCCAACGGGTCATCATAGGTTAAATCATTAATATCTACGTCTTGTATTTCCTCGAGAAGACGTTCATGTACCGATGTGTTTGCTTTCTGATAATTTGGAATGTAATGCGATTAAATTTATTTGGTTCCCGGTAAAATAATATATGTCCAGAATACCTGTAGTCTGTCCTTTATATTACCGATGTTACGGATAGCATGTACTTTCCAATCTGGAGATTCATCAGTCTCGAATCTTTACAGACAAAATCGTTAATACATTTCTCTTTGGTATATTTCATTTTAAAAAATACATACCGAATCAAATCATCATTTTCAATTCTTTCCATAAATTTCGCATCTGTAAAAGTAATATTCACGTTACTGAACATTCAAAAAATAAAAACCATTCTATTACACTTATATATATATATATATCAGATATCAGATCTATATGCAATATTTGTTTATATCACAATCTCCTCGTCAGTATCACCGCTTACTTATCGTCTTTGCATACTACAATATAAAGAGGAAACTTCTCGCAAATGGTTATGGCCACTCACCACCGCTTACATATCATCCTTATAAGTAGTGCAAGGAGGAAAATTCTCGCAAATGATTAACAGTCTGACGAGAAGTAGCTCAATTTTTATTATCATCATATCTATAAAAAAAATAATTTAGTAATAGCATGTACCTTATCGATATCTTGTAATGATATGAGATGTCGCTTCCTATCACTATCTAGATTTTCTGCCATTAACTCGTTTAAAATCTCTAAAAGACGGTTACAATCATTTTCTTCCGACTGTATGTCATTTCGTTTCCATAGTTCATGAAAAGCCCTAGAAATAGCAATCTTATTGAGTGGTTCGTTTCTGAAAAAACTTTTTAAGGAGTCGATTCCGTAGTAAGAATCCATTGTAAGTTATCAAAAAATTTTTTGAGAAAAATGGCTATATGTGAGAATTTATTGATAAAAAACGTTTTCGCGTTTTCTGGTATCTTATGATTAATCAAATCAGGTTATCGATATCCCTGTATGTGGAATAGTACAACATATCAGCGATAAATATAGAAAAGTAGAAATAAGTTTTTCACATAGATATGCAGGGTGTAAGGGGTACTAATTAAATTTGGTAATCGGTGTATCGCATGACCAAATGATGCATGTAGATTCTATTACATTCGAATTCATTCTATGACACATATCACATGATTTTAGATATCATAGATATCAGCTCCGCTATATAAATACTAATACTCGAACTCGAGATTACCCGTCCCCAAAATAATATATTCAGAATGATTCGTTATCGTCATCTATTCCTTGCAAAATACAACATTCTTGAAGAAATGGTTTCAAAATTTAATCGCACTAAAATTGAATCGCATATTCTAGAGTATATAGTTAATAAAATTTAATAGGTCTAAAATCCTTAAATTCGATACAAATCACATAACTCCCATAAACACTACAAATAGGTCATATAAAATGGTTAGCTTAAGATTTATTAATTGCTTTGTGATATAAAATACCCATACTATTTATATATTATTTTTTTGGCTGTGCCAGTTCTACTAATACCTTTGAGGACGTAGATAGGTAGTTGTTCACCATTTTCCTAATGCTATTCTTGAGAGTGGCAAAGCCACAAGTCTCTGACTCATCACAATTGGGTATGCACGAAGTGAAATAAAAATCTATGAAGTGCATACTATAATGCATTTTTTATTGCAGAGCAATGGTTCTTCGAACCTATCTTGCGTTTTTGCCATAACTCTATCTCTTTCTGCAAATTTAATGGTGTATCGAATCTTAACCGAATTGCCAATAGATCTTCCTCAGATCTATCTAAATCAAATACAACGAACTCATCTTTTCGTAAATAGCTGTTAATAATCATAGATGCATTTTTTACATCATTAGTATATTGACGAATAATTTTTAAAATATCTTCATATGAGCTACCTGAGTTAAATAATACCAAGTAATTGGAATTTTCACGATTAATAAGTGGAATTTTATGATATTTCTGTGACATGTAAATTGGACTAATATTTCTATGGCGTCCTTGTATAAAAAACTGGCTAATTCGATTTTGGATATGTTCTGATGCTAAACATACATCCTCAAAAATAATTACTGTACTTCTTTCAGGTGAAAATGAATCTACTCTAAGAATCTTTTCAGGTAAAATATAGGTAAATCTAATATTTTTGTAATATGGAGCTCTTGGATCACTTGCAATTAATTTATACATATATCT